GGAGGTGGCGCCCGCCGCCCCGGGCTCGGGGGCCTGGCCCGGGAGCTCTGGTGACCCCGGGAGCTCCGGTGACCTCGGGCTCCGTGCTGGGGCCGCGCCGAGGCGACCCCGGGGAGCGGGCCGCGCTCAGGGTCCGTCTGTCTGTCCACTCAGGCTGTTGTTACCCATGATCTCCTAGGGGTCCGCAAAGAGGAAGGGGGGGGGCGAAGGGAGAGAGGAAGGAGGGAAAGAGAAGGTGGGAGAGAGGGAAGGAGAAAGAAAGATAAAGAAGCAAAAAGAGAAGTAAAGCTCCGTGGCCCTCGCGAGGTTGACGGCCAGAGTCTGGGCTCCCGGTGCCCGATGCGCCCCGCGCCCCTGAGACCTCGGCCAGCGACACAGCCATCGCGGGAGGGCTGCGGGCCGAGCCCTCAGAGCTGCTGTGGACGGGCTTCCCCGCGGGTGGAGAAGGACAGACAGCCAGGTGCCTGAGGAGAGGGCCAGCTCTGCCCTGCCCTCTCCCCTGGGGTCTGGGGTGTGGCAGGGCTGGGTCATCCTTCTCTTTTGAGACAGGGTCTCACTAACGGTCTCATACACTGGCCTCAAACTCGCAGTGATCCTCCTGCCTCGTCCTTCCAAGTGCAGTGATCCCCCTGCCTCGTCCTTCCAAGTGCTGGGATTACAGATGTGCACCACCAGCCCTGGCTGGGTCGCCCTCTTGTAGCCAGGTGGTTTGTGATCCTCTGTGGCCTGATTGTCCTTCCTGAGAGAACAGGAATGCGTCCTTCCTGCCAGCCAGAACACAGGCTCTGCCCCCTCAAACAGGCTCCTGTCCAGGTGGCCCCGAGGGCCCCAAGGGACAAACCACTCGGGAGGAAAATGTCACAGTCACCTTTTCTGACTGGCTGTTTCCTTTCCTGTGCACACATCCTCCGCTCCCATGTCTTCAGTGGCTGCTGCTATGCTGGTGACTCCCAGACTTTAATCTCTAGCCCTGAAATTCTCCTGAGAGGGAACATTCAGACTCATACTTTTAACTGTTTACTGGTCTCTCAATTCCTAGATATCCCAGAAGCACCTCGACATAATGCCTCCCCAGTGGAGCTCCTGTCCTTTGTCCAGGCCGCTTTCTCTCCACTTATGGCAGTGACTTTCCATGTCAACCCAGGCAGCCCAACTCTCAGATTCAACCGTCACATTCAGTTGGTCCCAGTTCCTGCTGATTCTAACTCACAAATGTCTCTCTTTCTTTTTTTTTTTTTTTTTTTTTGAGACAGGGTCTTGCTACATAGTCCAGGCTGGCCTTAAACTTGCAGAGATCCTCCTGCCTCAGCCTCCTAAGTGATGGCTCACAGACATGCACCACCACACCCAGCCCATCCCAGAGCCCAGATCCTCCTCCTCTGAATGCATGGGGCTGTATCTGCAACATCCACTGGCCTCAGGGTGACATTTGTGTTGTGGTCTAATTTTTGGATTTCTGTCTTGTTTCCCCGACTATATACTTCTGAGGGAGGGGATCACATGTTGTTCCAAAAGCCAGACTGTCTGACGGACATAAAGAGGCCCAGTAAATATGTGCTCTAGCCAGGTGTGGTGGCACATGCCTGTAATCCCAGCACTCAGTAGGCTGAAGCAGAAGGATCTTTGTGAGTTTGAGGCCAGCCCGGGCTACATAAGTGAGTTCAAGGCCAGCCTGAACTGCATAGTGAGACCCTGCCTCAAAAAGACAAAATAAATAAATAAATACATGCTGTAAGTGGGGAGAGGAAAAGCAGTAGATCCACCCTAGCCATGATTTTCTGGGAGCTACCTGTTGAGGTTTCTTTCTTTCTTTTCTTCTTTGTCTCTGAGACAGGGTCTCACAATGCAGTTCAGGCTGGCCTTGAGCTCACTTTGTAGCCCAGGCTGGTCTTAAACCTGCAACGATCCTCCTGCCTCAGCCTCCAGAGTGCTAGGATTACAGGCATGTGCCCCTACGCCCCGCTGTCTTTCTTAAACTAAATTTTTTTGAGACAGGGTATCAGGCTAGTCTTGAACTCTACTATGCAGCCCAGGCTGGCCTCAAACTCATGGCCATCCTCCTGTGTCAGCCTCCTGAGTGCTGGGTTCACAGGTGTGTGCCATAAGCATCATAATATTTGGTCACTTGCGGGGTCTGGGGATGTAGCTCAGCAGCATAAGTGCTTGCCTGGCAAGCCTGAGGTCATGAGTTCGATTCCTGGTACCAAAAAAAAAGCTGGTCTGGATTTGACCCTTGGGCTCAATAAATGTAAATGGTTTAGTCCGAGTTATCAGCCTTTCGACCCTCAGGCAGAACTGAAAATTAACTCCTGTCACTTTGCTGGGCATATAGCTCAGTAGCACAAGTGCCTGCTTGGCAAGTGCAAGGTTCTGAGTTTGATTCCCAGTACCACAAAAAAAAAAAGATTTGTGGGACTCCTCAGGCTCCAAAGAGAACTCTGAAGCCAAGGTCATGACCTTCTAATTCCTGCTCCAGAGTTGCCCACCCAGCCTGGGGCTCTCAGCCTGGCCCAGACAGGCAGCCATTCCATCCGGGCCCTCACACTGGTGGCCGGGGCTGGCCGAGCCCTGAGTTAGTGCCACCTCTGCTTCTCGCAGCCCCAGCACATGACAGGGAGGGGATTTCCTTTGGGCCCTCGCTGGGAATCCATTGTTCTCTTGCCCCATATCAGTGGGCTGCCAGGGGAGGCTTCAGTAGTTTCATTTCCCTCATTTGGAATGGAGTTTTAAGAACCAAAAATCAAAACCGGAAAGAACAGAGGCCACCGCCCACACGGGCAGCATTCAACACCTCACAGTGCCAGTCTTGGAAAAGCTTAGGGGTTGGTGCCAAGACCCCCAAGCTGCGGCAACATGAGGGGAGGGCCTGGCAGATGGGCCTCCCCCGCAGGCTCATGCCTGTCCTCCAGCCATCTGGGGGAAGGGTGGCTCTGGCTCTTGTCACCCGAGGCCTCCGAGGCCTCTCACACCAGCGGCTGAACCCTGTGGGGACGCCGCCTCTTCCTCTTCTGGAGACACTGACAGTATCGTGATGGTCAAAGACGACAAAGAGATGCTGAGGGAAGGAGTATCCTCTCAGTGCCAGGGCACAGCTGGTGGTAGGATGGCAAGGGAAGGGGCCCACATAACTAACCGTGGCCTGGGGCAGCGCAGAGTGGACAGGAGTCATGGACACAGGAATAAGGTGCCGGGAGCTAGGTGGAAGGAGGTGCACACACTGGCTGGAGATGTCAGGCAGAATGTTCTGGAAGGCCTGCTCTGCACTATCAGGGGTGGGCCTGGGGTGGATCAGAGACGGAAGGAGAGATACGGAAAGTGAGTGGTCAGGACACAGCACACAGCTGTATCCAGGAGACTGCAGGAGAGATGATGGCTCCTCGTTGTATCCCGCTTGGATTTTGTTCACAACTCACGGGGATCACCATCCGTTACAGTTCAGCATTGCTTCCAAGACACTGTGTGCTGGCAGGCTAGGAAAATAGTTTGTCACATTTGTGTGTTTCTCCAAGCAGTCCTTAGCCTACCACCTTATAGAAGTCAGCAAAGATAGCTGGGCGTGGTGGTGCACGCCTGTAATCCCAGCACTTGGGAGGCTGAGGCAGGAGGATCGTTGTGAGTTCGAGACCATCCTGGGCTACAAAGTGAGCTCAAGGCCAGCTTGAATTGCATAGTGAGACCTTGTCTCAAAAAGACAAAGAAAGAAAGAAAGAAATTAGCAAAGATTTTTTTTTT